CACATGTGTAAACATGATTGCAGGTTACAGAAGAGGGCATCAGATTTGCTGGAGCAGGAGTTATAGGTGGCTGTGAACTGTTTAGCGTGGGTGCTGGGAACGGAACTTGGGTCCTCTGCAATAGGAGTGTGTGTGTTCTCGGCCACTGAGCCTCCATCATCTCTAGCCTCCAGTCCATTTTTTTCTTCAAGACAGGATTTCTCTTTGTAGACCAGGCTGGCCTCGAACTCAGAGATCTACCTGCCTCTGCCTTGTGGATGCTGGGCCCAAAGGTGTGCGCCACTACTGCCCAGCCATTTTTTTAAATATAAGCACTGGGGATCCTAACTCATACCACTCATGCTGCACACAGGTACTTTACAGGTGAGCCATCTCCCCAGCTCTAAAAGCTGTATTTGACTTAGCCAAACAGCCTGCAAAGAGGAGAAGAAACGGAGCTGCCAAGAGGAAGATGAACTAAACCTAGGTATAGCGTACAGCTTAAGCCAGGGGTGGAAGCTCACTCTCAGGACTTCAAGGCCGGAGAAGGGCAGTTATTCTAATGAGTTCCAGGATATGAGGGTGGGAGGGAGGATGGAGAGGAGGGGAGGAGAGAGACAGACTAGGAACGAGAATGAATGAATGAACATGAATGGATATAAAGCATGGGGACTTGAGTCAGGCTGTCCCCACCCTTGCCCTGAACACGCTGTTCTGCAAGTGCTTAGGGACTGTGTGATAGATTTCAGAGCCAAGCACAGAGCTAGGGATTTGATAGTATGTCAGAGGAATAACCTGGGGGCCGGAAAACAGGAGACAACCCTTGTAGAAGTGGAGTCTGGCTACCCTGCTCCAGTTTTCCCTGAGGAAAGATACATTCGAGTACTGCTAGGTTAAGGAGCCAGAAAAATACTGAAGCTATGTGTGGTAGTCCAGGTTTGTCTTCCCAGTTACTTAGGAGGCCGAGGCAGAAAATTCCTGAGTTCAGGCTTGTCTTGGCTACAGAGTGATTCAAAGTCAGTCCGGGCAACTTAATAAGGGCCCTGTATCAAAATAAAAACTGGGGCTGGAGAGATGGCTCAGTGGTTAAGAGAACTGCCTGCTCTTCCAAAGGTCCTGAGTGCAATTCCCAGCAACCACATGGTGGCTCACAACCAACTGTAATGAGATCTGGTGCCCTCTTCTGGCCTGCAGGCAGACATGCAAACAGAATACTGTATACATAATAAATCTTTAAAAAAAAAACAAATAAAAAAAGGCCAAAGGGGTAGCTCAGTGGTAGAGCCCCTGCCTAGAATCCCCCAGTGAGGGGCTGGGGTGTGGCTCAGTGGTAGAGCACCTGCCTAGAATCCCCCAGTGAGGGGCTGGGGTGTGGTTCAGTGGTAGAGCACCTGCCTAGAATCCCCCAGTGAGGGGCTGGGGGCGTTGATCAATGGTAGATCACCTGTCTAGAATCCCTTAGTAAGGGGTTAGGGGTGTGGCTTAATGGTAGCCTGTGCTTGCCTTGTGTATGCAGGAGGCCCTGAGTCCAATCTAAAGTGCTGCAAATAAGAAAGCGGGAACAAGGGAACATGGAAGTCAGTGGTTTGACCCTGTGCTCTTGACTCTTTCTGAACCGCAACCGCAACAGGCTGGTGGCACTGTTGACCATGAGCCTCCTTTGTAGCCTGTGCTGGCAAAAACAAAGCTTACTCCACAGAGACGCAGACTCAGATCTTGGGCTCCATCACTGGTCTCATGACCTTGAGCAAGTTAATCCCCGAGTTCCAAGTTCCTTCTCTGTAAAAGCTATGTCACCGGGTTGTCATTCCCTGCTTCGCACTAGGATCTATGTCATTTACATGTCTATATATGGAGAGACTAGACTCCCCCCTCCTGCCTAATTCCTATTAAGATACTGCATATCATCTAAAGCCCCTTTATCCAGGTAGGCTCCCAGGCTGCCCTGGCCAGTCTTCAGGATCCCCCTTTCTTTATTCAAAATCATACATATACATTTATACATATATGTGTGCGGATATATGCATACGAGCGCAGGTACCGACGGAGGCCAGAAGAGGGCACTGGATCCCTTGGAGCTGGAGTTACTGGAGGCTGTGAGCCACCTGGCATGGGCGCTAGGAAGTGAACTGAGATCCTCTGCAAGAGCAGCAATCAGTCCTAACTGCTGAGCCATCTCGCTAGGCCTGGGTCTCCTTTCTTCTACCCTGCTGGACTCCAGCCCTTGCAGTCCCCGGACTGGGCACTCAGATAGGCAGAGGGAGAGAGAGGGACAGTCTGTCTCTATATCCCTTGGGTTCAGGGCACCCAGGCACCGAGTGAGTATTTCCAGTGTTATCCCCTTCCCCACGGTCTACCTGCTCCACTCCGAGGAGACATCAGGGGAGAGAGAGAGAGAGAGAGAGAGAGAGAGAGAGAGAGAGAGGAGAAAGCGAGAGGAAGTGACTAAGTCCGCTAGGAGGTGGAGGCAGGGGAGTGCTTAGGGAGGTTCAGGGTGATGTCATCATCTTGAGGACTGAAGTGGAGTTGACAGAGGTGGAGGGGACATTCCAGGAAGAGATGAACGATGTACAGGAGAGAAGAGGGGCGAGGAAGCAGGCCACCCGTGGGTGTTACTAGTTTATCTGCTGGTGTGTGTGTGTGTGTGTGTGGGGGGGATAGGTAAAGACAAGGGTTCTGGATCCAGGTTCCTCAAAACGCCTTGAATGCCACAGCAAGGACCTGGCCCAGTAGAAACAGTGATTGCTTCTTTTAAACAGGCAGGGAAATGTTCCAGGGATGTCCCCTTCTGGGGAGGTAGATGCTAACAGGAATCTGGACCACCATGGTGGTGGAGAATCAGGATCTACTACCTGCATGGTTCATGGTTGTAAATAAGTCAACAGCTGTTTTTGCATGAATTGAATGACCCACCCCCAGCAAGCTGTTCTTTGGAAAAGAAGTAGGCGGGGCTGTGCTATGTCCATTTCATGGAGGGACAAAGAGAGAGAGACACGGAAAGGACGGTGACCTGGCCTGGGCCACTGGGGCTAATTCCAACACGAAGCCACGCCTGGGCTCAGAGTGCATAAGGGCAGCGGGTTGTCAGTCCTCAGACCCGGCTACACTCAGCGGTTTCTAGAGCCGGTGCCTGGAGACAAGGAGATGACCTTTGACCTCTCAGTCATCTTGCAAATGGTCACTTGGGCCTATCCTGGAAGGGAGGAGGGGTATCCACCTTTCAAGGGGACAAGGTTTCCCTATGGTGAAGTAAGCCAGTGTGAGCTTGTTTCTGGGTCTTAATTTGAGACCTTCAACTTGGACCCTGGGAGTGGCCCGCAGATGAGGGAATGCCCATAAAAAGGCCAGCCCCTTCACCAAGTCACAGGGAACAGCCAGAGGCAGCCTTCCTCCTGTCTTTCTAAGGAGTGTTGGCCTTGAAGCCCTCTTTTCTCCAGCCTGAGAAAGAAAGGAGGAACCAGGGGGCTGTCGGAGGCTGCTGGGGCCAGAAGTTGGGACTCGGTTCCCTCCGGCCTCTGGGTCCTAGGGATTGCCTAGGGGTGGGCAGAGGGCAAGTAAGTGTAGGTAAGGATTAGAAAGCATTGACAGAGAGAGGGGCTTTTTGCACTTGCGGGTGTGGGAGAGAGAGTGTTCAGAATCTGCGCTGTTAGCTTTGTTTTCAAATGACCTGTTTAATGATTTACCTGGGGCCATCCAAGGAGCAAGGGGTTCTACCCTCAGACAAGGGAGGTGAAACCTTGGGTCCCCACAGAGAGACCAGCCCTTGGAGCAGAAAGTAAACAGACGTAAAGCTACCTAGCTGGCTTCATCTTCCAAACAATAGCCCTGACCAAGCTCCAAAACGGTGAAGTCAAGTCCCTCAGCAAGAACTTTTAACAGGCTCTTTCCCCTGAGTTCAACCCCACAGGAGACAAGACAGCCTGGGAAGAAAGGAGGTGTGTGTGTGTGTGTGTGTGTGTGTGTGTGTGTGTGTGTGTGCTGTCAATTTAACTTAATCTTCACCTGTAGACAGGGAGGTTGAAACATCTTCGCCTTGACGCGGGGCGGCCCCCTGATTGGGGTAAGCGAATGAGGTTTAAGTTAACCGTTGCTTGCTCTAATTCCCACTCCACATGGGGAAAAGGGCAATTAAAAAAAAAAAAAGAAGGTAACCCGACTCTAATCCAACAGGAGTTTATGAAGTCAAACGCACACCTAGCAATGTGAAAAATCCAAGATTTTAAAAAAATCTTTTTCTTTTTCTTCTTACCTCCCAAGGCCTTCCACTAATTTTTTTTCCCCCCTGCAACATCCAAGACCAGCCTCCAGGCAGATCCATAAACACGCCTGCTCCTCCCCTTCCATGGTTCAAAATCCCCCCTCCCTCCCACTTCGCTGGACCCCCAAAGAGAAAAGAAACCAGCGACCCTGGCCCTGCAGCCCCTCCCCCGCTGCTTGCACCTCCTCTCTCCCCTCGCAGGCACCTGGAGATAAACATCTACTAATGATTTTATGATTTTTCTGTTCTGGGGTAGACAAGCTCAGCGCCATCCCTCCCCGCTTGCCAGTGGCTACAGGGGGGCCGGCCCAACCAGGAGGAGGGGAGTGGTGGTGGTGGTGGTGGTGGTGGATGGATGGGGGGATGGGGCGTGTTTAGTTTGTTAATTTCCACCTCCGGATCCCCACACCTGTTTTTCATTCATTCATTCGTTCATTCATTCATTCATTCACGGATGCATCAGAGGCCATTTGGGGAGGCTACTCAGTATCTCAGGGAAGGGACTGAGAAGGGGGGTAGGGTTGGGTGTTGATGGCAGCAGTTGGAGGCGCAGTGGGGTGGGGGGAACCTGGGTGGAAGGGACCCCCAACTAGAAAGCACAGGGGTGGCTTTGTCCGATGCAGGAGGATGGCAGAGATCCCGGGGGGTTGGGGAGCGATGAAGTTGTTTTGCACTGCGTCCCCCCGGGGTGCGCCTCTTTGTCTGTCCCGGGGCGGGTACCATGCGCCCCCCATCCCTTCGCCCCATACTCTCTTTCTCTCACCTGGTCTTGGAAGACAGGAAGGCAAGTTTGATGAGGCCGTAGGTGAAGAGCGGGATACTCTCCTTGGCGACGCTGGCAACTTGCAGCCGGTGTTCCAGAATGTGCAGTTCCATCGTCTGCCCAGGGCTCCTCCACAGCGGATCATCCGCGGTGGCCCGAGTTGCGGGGGGGGGGGGG